CCCACGGTGCTTGTGTGATAATTGGCAAAGGAACAGAATGGATGCGAGAGGGAGAGGAGGAGTTGGCTAGAGATAGAGAGGTGCCTGATCCGGCCATGGAGGCGGCCGTCTCTGAGGACCAGCCCCCTTCCGTGGCCCCTTCTTCCCTCGAAGGGAAAGAGGTGTGGTCTTTGGAAGCTGCAGTAAGCTGCGCCCCACTCCCTCGACTCCCACGTGCACAGAGATGTGTGCACCACCTCTCCACCCCCATCATAAAGTCCCCCGATTGTGGACAGCAGGTCATCATGCCGTGGAGATGCGGAGCAAGCAGCTCTGTCCTTTACTGGGGCTTCAACCTCATTGTGCTGGGAAGCTGGCTGAAGGGAGAAAAGCTTTTCCCTTGCTGAACCTCGCTCATAGCACAGCCTTTCCCCTGCATCTCTGGGACCCCTGGCCGGCCTCAGCTCACATGAACCAGACCGGTAGCACCAGACTCATTCCCCAGGAGCTGCCCTTCTAGGGGCTGGAGCAGCTCTGGGTCTGCTCTCCTCTCCAGCCGCCTTCCTCGGAAGCCACTTAGAGCCCCTCTGTGTCATCCAGCAGGCAGACTGGCAAGTGCATTCAGGCAGGGCTGGGGAACCTCGGTGTGACACAGACCCTTAGTAACCTGAGCAAAGCTGGCAGCCGTTCATCTGCCGGGCAGCTGAGGGATTCAGGAGAGTCTTTGTGGCCTTAAGCAGGTTCATGAAATTTAAAAAGAGAGAAAGAGAGAGAGGAAATTAAAACTGCATGACCTACAGGTCAGAAAATAGGAGGTGTCCTTTTTGAGCAGAAGGATTTCATTTTCCTCCCCAAACTGTCAGCAAATGGCATTCATCTGGTTTTCTTTGACCAAATTAAATCTATCAATCTATCTATATATGTTTATGTGTGCATATATATATATGTATATATATATAAAAAATTTTTTAAGTGCCTCAATTTTAAAGGCCAGTAAGTAAAGCAGATATTGTGGAAGTTAATCTGTTCCCCTCTGCCATGGCTGAAAATCACTTTTCACATTTTGCAACTCCAGATAAAGTATCAGCCTGCTAGTGCAGCCCAGGACCTTGAAAGGGCAGCTTGGCACACCCACTCCAGAGTCAGCCTGCTGCCCAGAGAGAGCCAGAGAAACACAGTGCGAGGGGGCTGAGAATTTCCCGCAAGTCACCCTTTGCTCAGAGCTGCCTCTCAGTTCCTCTCTCTCTTTCCACAAACCTGCTTCTCGGGTAGGGTGACATCAAATATGTGCTTCTGTTGGGTACTCTGAGGCTCCAGAGATGCTCGGTCCCTGTAATGCCTTCCAGCCAGCTCCTTGTTTAGTATAGCACCAGGGCTGGTGGCCTCTTCATCAAGGGATGAACGGAGCACGGTGTGACCCGTCACGCCGAAGCCCATACGTGCTTCACCGTTAACAGCTAGTATCTAGCACTGATGTGCTGGTAAATGTTTATAACAACCAGCTCTCCAAAGGGAAGCAGGAAAGCCAGCCCTGATCAATAGCATTTGGGCATGTCCATAGTATAAAAACTCCCATTATGGCCAATTTCAAGCTATCAACAGGATGTCAGTCACCTAGAAGAATTCCTGAAAATGTAACAGTCAGCCAGCTCCAGTGCCCCACTGATAAGCTGTACCATATTGCAAAAGCACACTTCCCAAAAGTAGAGCTAAACCTTTCAAAACCTTTCTATCCCAAGAGTGGCCTGTGGACTAGCAGCGCCATCTTGAAAGCGCTGATGAGAGATGCAGAATCTCTGGCCCCTCCTAGCCCTACTGAGTCAGCACCTGATTTTTAACAAGATCCCTATGCACATTAAAGTTTGAGAAGGTCTGTTTTAAAACATGGTTAACCTATATTTTAAAAAGTGGATGGAGGGTATAACTCAGTGGTAGAACATGTGCTTAGCATGCATGAGGTCCTAGGTTCAATTCCCCAGTACCTCCAGTTTAAAAAAAAAAGGTAGGGGGAGGGGTGTTGCTCAAGCGGTAGAGTGCATGTGTAACATGCACAAGGTCCTGGGTTCAGTCCCCAGTACCTCATCCCCAGTACCTCCTCTAAAAATAAATAATAAAACCTAATTACCTCCCCCCTGCCAAAAATAATAATAAAAGAATACAGTAAGAAATCAATAAAATTTAGTTTTAGAAAAGATAAATAAATAAACCTATTTACCTCCCCACCTCAAAAAATATTTTTAAAAATTAAATTAAAAAAAAAACCAAAACACTGTGAATCTATGATGCAGGTGTTAGTTCTGTCCCCACGATGGCTGCTGACCAGTTAGTCTAATTAGATCACATGTGTGATTTGCAAGTCCAGCTCTAAAATAACTGAGTGAATTGCTTTCTTTCTAATATCATCACACCTCTTGCCTCATTGCCTTTCCATTGTCCCCATCCAGCAAAACTCCAAATTGAGGTCAAGCCAATCCTGCTCGTACACTTAAGTGGCTGAAGAAAAGTCGTAAATTGTTCAGATCAGCGCCTCTACGAATTTATGGTCTCTACTCTCCAGGGAGCCCCAGTAGTCTTTCTGCATTCTCCTCGTGCCCCTTTTTCCTGTTCTCAGTTTGTACACCTCTTTTGCAGCAGAACCCGGTGCCTAGAACAGTGTCTGGCACATAGTGGGTGTACAGTGCCTGCTGGATAAATGGATTCTGCATTTAAGCTAGATATTACCCCATTTTACTGCTGTGGCTTCTGGCCTGTTTCCAGAAGAATCTCTAAGAGAGATTTCCTAGATCTCTGGTCCTCTGAGGGTTTGTGTTGTATTTTTTTTTCATATTATTGCTATTTATTTAGCATGAATTAGTAGGATAGTCCACCCACCGTCTTGAAATCAGTCTTTCCTTCTTCCTGGACACTATTTCAAATTTCTCGTTCCCCTCAAATCTCTTATCCCATCTTTTTATCTCTTACCCTCAGAAAATTGTAGTCAGCATTTGAGAAATCCCTGGACTTGCTGCACTGAGGGCCTGAACGTCCCTGTAACAAGCTTCCCCTTTCCTCCTGCCCAGAGGAGGGGCAGTCCCTGCCCAGCGACAACACCCCATTCTCCACAGAGAGGCCACTGGGTGTTCCCTTGGCCCCAGTGCTGGCCCTGAGCGCCAGGCCCTGTGATCTTCAAGTAACCTCCCTCTGGCTCCTGTGTCACCACACTCTCCCGGCTTTTCTTCTGCCTCTGGCTACTTCTCAATCCTTTCCCTGGGTTTTCTTTCTCTGTTGACCTTAAATGTGTTTCTCAAGGCCCTGTCTTGGTCCACTGTCCTCTCCCTCCGTCAGTACAGGGCCATCTCCTCTGCTTCTGTGGCCTCAATTACCATCCACAAACTGATGGTTTCCAGAGAATCTCCATGTTGGCTTTCTCTCATGCTCTCCAGACCATCTATCCGGTCACCCACCGACATTTCCACCCCATCCCCAAACTGAACTCTTCTCCTCGCAACCCTGTCCTTCTCCCCGGTTCGCCCCATCTCGCCCTGCACAGAGCCCTTCGTGACCAGCTGCTGCCCTCTCTCCAGACTCCTCTCCCACTGCCCCGTGCGAGCCCGGCCGGGCTGAGCTCCCCGGAGGGTCCCTAGGCACACGTGCTCTCTCTGCACATATTTCTCCTCCTGCCTGGAATGCTGTCCCCTGCAGCCCACCCCCATCACTCCCCCCCCAAAATAACTTGACTAATTCCTGCTTAGCAGACATTCCTTTCAATATTGCCTTTTCTAGAAAAATAAGTTTTTTTTTAAATAAGCAAAACATGTACTTATTCCAATTGTTTTGTGTCTAAGTAAAGCTATAACCTAATACAAAAACATTTTCATAAACACCTGGATACATATGAAGTTTCTTTTCTCTTTAGACTTTAACTCTTTCAATCACTAGCTAAACCTTGTCTTTGGTTTTGTTTTGTTTTGTTTTGTTTTCTCTCACATCCAAGAGCAAAAGCCCCAGGCCTGATTCACAGGTTTAAGGTATTCTTGACCCATCTCTGTTGTGGGCGGTGGGCCTCTCTTTGCTGCTGTTGACTCTTAAGAGCTCACTAAGTCAGCAATCAAGGTCAAGAGGGACTGTCTCCTCCCCATGACTGTGGCTTCCTGCAGCCCTGAGAAGGCTGTTTCATTCTCTTTTATGATCACAGCACAAAGGGTGGGGAAAAGGCTGCATCTTTGTCTGCCTACCGTCCCTTTAACGGACTCTGTTCTAGTCCAGAAGACATTGCTCTTGGGGAATCACACTGTGGGCTCAGTCTTTACCTCTTGTGTTCCGTCAGAAGTCCACTTACTTCCTTACTCAGATACACAAAACTTCCAGAAAACAATAGTATGGGCTATGCACTCTAGCACTATTTTATTTCATTTTTTTAAAACGCAGTCATGACCCACTAAATTGATTTCTACCATACATGGATGAATTGCCATGTACAGTTTGGAAACGAAAAGTATCTGTATTAATTACTCCGCAGAAAAGGCCGTAAGGTTATTCACAACCAAAGCTCTTCCAAAGATGTCAGAAATTGCTTTTACTTATTAAAAGGGCTGTGCCTTTACTTTCCTTCTTAACATGGAAACCACATTTCGAACAGTTATACACAATTTTTAAATGGTCCCGGGAAGGGTTCAAAAAGTTAACGAACAGACATCCGTTGATTACCTATGTTTTTGCAGAAGACAAACTAAAAGCACTATTTTTGTGTGTGCGTGCTTGTATCTTTCATCACAGGACTGTGGGAATTAAACTCTCCGTTAATGTTAGTTACTGTCTGGAGTCGACCAGATGACCCAAAACAAATAACTCCGCATGTTGGACCATCTAATCTACATCTAAGATTAGCTCTTCCAGTGGGCCCTGGAAGCCCTGCTTGCCCCAGTGCTAACGGTGGGAGCATTTTCATGCTAAGGCAGCATTTCCAGCAGGGGCTGTATTAGCCTTCTCCCATCTCAAGATGCCACATGATCAGATCACAATAATTGCAGGCCTAGGGCAGTGAATTAATTCTCTTATCTTTCCAACATCCCTGCTCTCAGGCAAGCACTATCATGCAAGCAACTTGGCCAATCACTTGGGTCCTCTCCTCTGCTTCACCTATTCCGGCCCTGGATTTTTCCC